CCATTACTGGATATATTTTTCCACTAGGTCATTATTAAATCACATTTTGGGAATAAAAAAGTTTAAATCCTACATTGGGAAAGTCATTATGTTTTAATCCTATTTAGTGCAAATTTTACAAAAAATTGTTGCTTTTAGTAATTAATGTTGTACCGGACTAAATTAAGTTACTAATTTATTATCACACTCTGTCGGTTGAGTATAGAAAAATCAAATTTTGATTATCAATTAAATCAATAATACGATAAGGCACCGTTAAAAAAAACAATTACGAATTAATACGAGTACACTACAATTCAATTTTTCTCTCTCTACCCCTAAATCATTTACCTATTACGCAAAACAAATTAAAAATCTAAATTTTATCAATTCATTTTATTTAAAGATTAATATATTAAAAAAATTACATATTTAAAATATAAATCAAAAATTTATAAAATTAAATGTGATAAAAATATTTTATTTCATCAAATAGTAAATGAAAGCACACAAATAAACAAAATTTTCCGTGATTTTCGAAATTTATAATGTGCAAATAATTTAGAGTCGAAGGAAGCATTATACTCCCTCCGTCCCTTAATAGATTATAGTAATTTTTTTCCTCTCTTCTCTCGATAACTTTTGTTTGTTTAGGCGATTTCATTAAGTATTTGATAAAATAAAATATTATTATCAGCTATTGTTTTGTAAAACTTTTGACGTAATTTTTTAATATGTAATTTTTATATCTTATCGATATACCAATTTATAAATAAAATGATTTCAAAAAGTGGAAAATTTTACTTCGTAATCTGCAATTTGTAATCATTTTTTTAATAAAGGAGCGTAAGTGGAATACTGTAGCTAGTAAGGAGGAGAGAAGGGACAGGTGCAGGCGGGATTTGGAAACATAATATAGTCAGAGAAGATAATAAGAGTCAGAAGAGTCAAACGGTCGGCGTCTTGACAGGCACGTAGATTTGAGAAAGGAAGAAAGACATAGGGAAAACGAAAACCATCCAGAGATCCGAGCAAGCCACACCAACCCAGCCGTATAGTGCAGGAGCGCTCAGGCTTACTCTTTCACTTGAATTTGAAACGGGCGCGGCGTCTTCGTCCTTACTGAAGAATAATGATTTTCATTGATTGAATATGTTGTGGTTACATGTATATATATAAGAGGAGTCTCAATCCTAAACCAAGTAGGAGAGACAGAAGGAAACCTATACAAATAAGGTAAGGGAATAATACAATATATTAAATATATACAATATATTTAACATGCTCCCGGCTACGTCGGATTTGGGGGAGGTCTGATTCCCAAGCTGTGTCTGAAGTCCAAAAATAATAAAGATGGCAGTCCCTTAGTGAAGATATCAGCATACTGCGAAGACGAGGGAACGTGGAGAACGCGGACATGGCCGAGTGCTACTTTGTCATGGACAAAGTGAATATCAACTTCCACGTGTTTAGTGCGCTGGTGCTGTACAGGATTTGTCGAGAGATACACGGCACTGACGTTGTCGCAAAAGACAAGGGTGGCACGGCGAAGGGGTTGCTGCAGCTCAAGTAGAAGGTTCCGGATCCAGCTCGTTTCTGCAACAGCATTGGCTACAGCGCGATACTCAGCTTCTGCACTTGAACGGGAAGTGGTGGCCTGACGCTTCGAGGACCATGAGACCAGGTTATCCCCGAGAAAAACACAATATCCAGAGGTAGAACATCGGGTGTCTGGGCAACCGGCCCAGTCAGCGTCGGAGTAAGCCTGCAGTGAGTCAGTGGAGGAGCGCGCTAGGTGAATGCCATGGGTGGGGGTGCCACTGAGATATCGCAAGACACGCTTCATGGCTGTGAGATGAGCATCGCGAGGTGCATGAAGGTGTAGGCAAAGCTGCTGTACTGCATAAGTGATGTCCGGACGAGTAAATGTGAGGTACTGTAATGCTCCAACAACTGATCGATAAAGAGTGGGATCAGGGAGCAGAGTGTCGGATGAGGAGGAGAGCTTTGCCTTTGTGTCCACTGGGGTGGAGATAGGGCGACAAGAGACCATCCCGGCCCGCTCGAGTATGTCATGGGTGAACTGTGTCTGGTGGAGGAATAGGCCACTGGTCGTCCTGTGTATGTTGATGCCAAGGAAGAAGTGTAAATCTCACATGTCTGTCATAGCAAATTCGGCCTTTAGCCGCTGGATGAGATGCTGCAGAAGTGCAGTGGTGGATGCTGTGAGTACAATATCATCAACGTACAGTAGTAGGTAAGCTGTGCCCATGGTATGAGAGAAGACAAACAGAGATGTATCCGACTTGCACCCGCGGAACCCAATAGTCTGAATAAAGCTGGCAAATCTGTGATACCACGACCGTGGTGCCTGCTTGAGCCCATAAAGGGCCTTTTTGAGGCGACAAACATAATGAGGTCGGGCTGGGTCCTGAAACCCAGAAGGCTGGCTGGCGTATACTGTCTCCTGTAGCTGACCATGGAGGAAGGCATTTTTGACGTCTAGCTGATGAATGGGCCATCCTCTGGACAGAGCAAGGCTAAGGATGATGCGGACTGTAGCAGGTTTGACAACGGGGCTGAAGGTCTCGTCGTAGTCAACGCCAAAGCGCTGATTGAAACCGCGGACCACCCAACGGGCCTTGTACCTGGATAACTCACCTGATGGGCCAAGTTTGTGTCTGAAGAGCCATTTTCCTGAGATTATGTTTTGGTTGGGGGAGGGGGGTACTAATTCCCATGTTTCATTCTTGATCAAAGCATTATATTCATCACACATAGCAGCATGCCAGTTTGGATCTTTCAGTGCACTACGGTAAGTTGGAGGTAAGGGGGAGATGGGGGATGAGGCAGTGAGGTTTAGGATTTGTTTTGGGCAAAAGATTCCGGCCTTGGATCGGGTTTGCATTGGGTGGAGATTGGGAGGTGAGGAGGGGGGCCGGGCTGTGGGTGGTTACTGGGCCTGGGAGTGGGTTGGTT